ATTTCAATTGCTAGCAGCAATGCCAGACAGTTATCAAGCATTGACAACTTCAATTAATTTAATGTTCAGTACAAATCCCAAAGATGTTACTGTACAATTTGTTAAAAGCAAGTAACTACAAGAAGCAATACGATAAGAAAACAATCATGGAGATGATTCTGTTGCTTTTATCAGTAGCTATAGAGGTTCTTTTCATGGAAGAAGCAGGGGACGAGGACGGTCTCTGGCAAATGGTAGAGGAAGAGGACAATTTACGTCAAATGGGAGAGGACGAGAACAATATGTGTCAAAATTTCCCTTCAAATGTTATAAGTGTGGAAAACCAGGTCACAAACGTAATGAGTGCAGAAACAGTACGCATGTAGCTGATTGTGAAAATACAGTTCCTGATGAGATAGCATTTATCGCAAGTGACACGAATAGTTCAGTGTTGAATGAGTCATCTGTACTACTTCATAAGGGTGAAACAGCTAATAATGGTAACACTGCTTTATCTGTCTCGAATGGAATTATAACCTTTATTGTTGACTCAGGAGCAACAAACCATCTGGTAAACAAACTAGCAGAGAATTTTTATGTGACATAAAATCTGTTAATTATAATGTTAATGTTGCCAAGAAAGGTTCTGCGATCAAGGTTTTCAAGTGTGGAAATTTGCATGTAGAAGACACTGAAGGAAGAAATTTCAAATTGAAAGATGTATTCCAAAGTAACGATTTGGACTATAATCTAGTATCGGTAAAACGAATAGAAAACAAAGGATTCAAAGTAATCTTCGAAAATGGAAAAGTTAAAATATGTGAAAAAGAGAATAATGAAACACTTTTGTAGGGCAGTCTTAGAGGAAATCTGTATGTTATTTGTTTTAGACCAAGACTTTTTAGTGCCAATATAGTAGAAAATCAGGACTTGATGCTTAGACGAATGGGCCAATCATCTAAATATCCATCAAAAAATTTATGCGAAGTTTGTTTGAAAGCAAAACAGTCACGTGTGAGAATCAAACCCCTACCTGATGAAAGGAAAGCACTGAGAGCTCTAGAAATAATCTCAACAGATGTGTCAGGACCCATCACACCTTCAACAAGAAATGGCAAGAAATATTATGTTTCTTAGACCATTTCACACATTTTGCATATTTATATCTCCTAACGAATAAATCGGAAGTCATGGAAAAATTCAAAGAGTATGAAGCGTTAGTTTGTGCTAAATTTAATTCAAGAATACGTTGCGATAATGGAGGAGAGTATAGCTCTAAAGAATTTCAAATGTTTTGTAAGAAGAAAGGTATACAGATTGAATATACAATACCAAGGAATCCAAAACAAAACGGAATTGCTGAAAGATTCAACAGAACGATCCTAGAGAAATCAAGATGTTTGATATTTGATTCATATCTGGAAAAATATTTTTGGGGTGACGCTCTGTGTGCAGCAGTCTATCTACATAATCGACTGGAAGCAGCAGCGATTCCCAAAAACTACTCCAGCCAAGCTGTGGTATAGATATGAACCAGATATAAATAAAATTAAAGTTTTTGGTTATGTGGCATATGTATATGTACCAAAAGAAAATCGTACAGGAAAATTAGATTCACATTCACTCAAAACGACATTCATCGGTTACTGCAATAATGGATACAAACTGTATGATTCTGAACAAAAAACAGTGTGTGGTATCAAGATCCGTTATTTTTTGTGAAAACAGAAATATAAAAGTTGCAATAAACCCAGAAGTACAACCAATATTAACTGAGGAAGACAATAAAGAAGAAGAAATAAATGAAGAGGATATTGGTGTTATTCACTCTGATAATAATATCAAGGAGGACTCGTAGAAGTCAAAGAAACAAAAAATTGCCAAAACATTTACTGGATTATGATTTGAATGGAGATATGGAATTAATGGTAGCCCTGTCAGCTGGTAACTTACCCCATGAAATTCTCAAAAGTTATGACGAAACCTTGAATTTGCAAATTGGATGGGATATAGCGATAACCGAAGAATTGAAATCATTGGAACAAAATGAAACCTGGAAAATGATATCACCATCTAGCGACACAAATGTTATAGACTCTAAATGGCTATTCAGTGAGAAAATGGTTGATGGAAAAGTGAAAAAGAAGGCCAGATTGGTAGCCAGGGGCTATCAGCAACCATCGTTAGAAGAAGAAGTGTATGCACCAGTAGCAAGAATGGTGACATTAAGAGTTTTACTTGCTCTAGCAGTAGAAAATGATCTGAATATACACCAATTAGATGTAAGATCAGCTTTTTTGAAAAGTAACCTGAATGAGGTAGTCTATATGAAACCACCTGACGGTTTAACTAATTGCGAACCAGGTCAGGTATGTGAACTGAAAAAGGCAATGTATGGTCTCAGACAAAGTCATAAATGTTGGAATAACTGTATAAATAATTTTTTATTGGATTTACATTTTATTCGTTCTAAATCTGATCCATTTCTTTATTACATAGGATATATTTTTTACTTATTTGGGTAGATGATATAATTGTTTTGTCCAAAGTCAAGGGATGAAGTGCATCAAATAATAAATGAAATTTCTGCAAAATTTGCAATAAGAGACTTGACAAACACAAATGGGAAAATAAGATTTTTAGGTATTGAAATTGAGAGACAAAATAATTCTATCTTCATGTGTCAAAAACTTCTTATTGCTAAAGTTTTGTACGATTTTAACATGACAGACAGTAAGATTGTCAAAATTCTTCAAAAAACTTCAAGGTTCCCTATAAAGAATTGGTTGGTAGTCTTATGTATGTGGTGCTGGGAACACGCCCAGATTTATGCTATGCTGTATGCTATTTCAGTAGATATCAAAATTGTTTTGATGAAAATCATTGGAAATATCTTATAAATGTTCTTAAATATACTAAGGGTACTGAAAATTTAGGCTTAACCTACTATAAGAATTCAAATAAAATGAATATATCAGCTTTTGTCGATGCTGATTATGTAAGTGATGTAAACGATAGAAGAGTATAACTGGTTTTCTCCTGAAAATAAACAACAATACTGTATTCTGGAATTCTAGGAAGCAATCAATTGTTGCTCTATCAAGCTGCGAAGCAGAATATGTAGCGTTAGCTTCTTGTACAACTGAATGTTGTATGAGGGTAACCAGTCTACAATTAAAATGGCATATACTTATGGAACAAAAAGATCTAAACATATTGATGTTTAATTTCATTTTATTAAAGATTTGGTTGACCAGAATAAAATTCAAATAGAATATATTTCTACAGATGAACAAGTTGCAGACATTTTTGCAAAAGCTCTAAGTTCTAATAAATTTGTCTTATTTCAAAAAGCACTCAATATGACATAACCCATATTCGAACTTTACTTTGTTTATTTGAAATAGTTTTAATTTACATACTTTGAAGATTGTAGAATTGAGGGAAAGTATTGGAGTGCAATTCTATGTCAATTGTCTGTTTTTCTGTTGTTCTATGATATGATTCGAGATGTATGTTGTTGTTAAGTTTATAGTAAAAAAATGTAATATGGTAGAAGAACTGTACGTGAATAAATATCTTCACAATATAAAGTAATCATTATTACAAGAAGGAATAGTGGAATGCTAAAACTCTGCATTTAACAGTATGTACAGATATTACGGAACTGATCCTTAATCATTGTGAATTCTTCATCTGTCTAACCTTCAACCTGGTAATCCCATAGTGGCATGTTCTGTACATTCCTAAGTTCTTGCAAGAAATCCACCAAATTCTTTTTTTCACTCTACATGATCAAAAATTGAACTGCAACCCAGGAAGAAATCATCTCAGAAAAAACTGTTCTTATCCAAGTGATGTATGCAAAACCTAGCATCATCTCTGATATGAATATTTTTCAAAACGAAAACATTGACTCAGCACTTCAGAGTTGGCAGATTCAGATTGAGTCGAGCGTTACATACTACTCACGATTCGCTCGAAGTTTGTTTCAAGATATTCAGCTTGAAAAACTTCCAGTCGTCTTACAAAGCAGTTAGCTCTTCCATTACTGCCCTATTACACTTCAGACACAGTCTTGTGAAGTTGCCTTTCCTTTGTTGAATGGCAATCTCCCGTTTTTCTTAATTATTCACCCCATCTAATTTTGCCATTCGTTGTATATCGAAAATATTGTTGCATATGAAACAGTGTCTTTGATTTTGAATGAAAGCCATCATAGAGATATGAAATATCAAATAAACAGACAAAAGATTGAAACTTTTAAAATGTTTGTATTTACCATGTATACATTGAGTACAGACATTACTAATGATGTCATCCTGACAACCAAGAGACAACTGGTAACTTGATCAAAAAACATGATACAGGTTGAAATATTAGTTCAGTAGCGGATGAAGTAGATGGAACTGTGTTACAAAATTGGAATGTGATTATGGAATGGTTGATTAAATGAAATACATTATTCTGTAAAGGAATGATAGGACAACTGAAAAAATGAGAATAATGAAACATTGCTCATTTGTGACAGGTTCTAGTTTTCATTCACTCACACGCTATTTTTCCGAATTTGAGGCTTCTTTCTCGAAGACTGTCCATTATTTTCCGTTGTGCCTATCGAGACATCCAATCAGGACGTTGAAAAGTACGTCTCTGCAATGTTATATTTCAATTAATCTTGCTAAAAGTTTTTTCGTATATATTTATAGTGTTGTAACTTGTAACCTTATCAATATACCCATTTTTTGACTTCCATTATTTTCAAGGTATCAGCTCCTATACCGTGTGATACAGACTCGTGGTACACCCTCTTTTTCTACTTTATTTCTTTAGCAATATTTACCAAACTTAATACATTGCATATGCTAACTAGACGGCACTTTTTGACATATTTGTAAAACAAATTCAACTACAGGTTTTCCGGAATCCAAAGATATCAGATTTGATGGTGTTATCTTTAATGAAGGAAATATCACCATTTATTTTATACATAAGTTCAACGAGTAGGACAGAGGAAATTTTTCTGGAGGGTCCATCCAACTCTCTCCCACTCATTGAGCTTATAGATAAAATAAATGTCGATATCTCCGTAGTAATTAGAGATAATACCATCAAATCTGATATCATTGAATTCCTCATGATCCTCCCTAACCGATCATGTAATAATATACAGGAAGTCTCATTTGAAAATCAAAAATGGATGTAATTTTGGGAAAAACCGGAGGTTGAATATGTTTTACAAATATGTCAAAAAGTGCCGTCTAGTGAGCATATTAAATGTTCGCAGAAACAAAGGAGAAAAGGGGGATGTACCATAAGTATGTGTCATATGGTATGTCAATTGAATAATCTTCTATATATCCATATCCATTGATTCTAAAGTTATCACGTCCAACCTTCTGTTAGCAATGTCCATGGAGTGGCTACAAAAAGCATTGAACTTTCTAAAAGATGTAACTTTTGTCCTGTTAACTCGCCTGATAACTCGCGCTACTTTACACCGATAAAGAAATATTTGATATCATAGCTCAAATGTGAATAAAAAATGACATCATACAGAGAACCTTTTTTCGAGTTTTTTATAAATTATCGGTGAAAAACCATGTAAAAGATATTTGAGTCATGAAGATGCAATAAAAAGCAAAACCAATTCAAAACCAATTATCTTTTCTTCAGCATTCTTTTTGTCATTGAATTGATTGTTTCTTCAAGTATTCCGGAGCTACTTCTTATAATTTGTCATCCAGCAAATTATCGGACCTCTGCGTTATTTACAGGCATTGTTAACGCTAGGGACTCGAGACATCCTGAATATATAAACACTGTTTACGTCTGGTGGCCTAGATGGCTACGACTGTGGAACTCCTCCACATATCCGCCCTTCAGGATAAATCTTCTGCTGAAGTGTATAAAGGACAAAATGAAATGTTTTTTGACATTTGTCCATAGGTATTGCCAGTATTATTTTCTGGGGAGTGCATCTGAATCTACACATACTAATAACCAATATAAAATATAGACCTATACATGTAAATCATGTGGTAACAGAGTTGCGAGTATTAAGTACCTACTTTATATAGGTTGTATGCTTTCATTACCAAACATTACTTTATATTGTGCAAGCTATGTATTGAATCTTGTCATTAATGACCTGAATACTGTCGGTGAAGTGAGAAATACTGCTGGAACTACAAAGGACATTGTAAATTTAATTTTAGAGAGTATGTTGAGGTGGAGTAAAATTCTATATATACCACTACTAGACCCCAGCCCCGACTGGTGCAGTGCTGATACTGAATATAAATTCACCCAGCAGAAATTAAAGGTCATGGAGAAACAGTGATGAAAAGATGATTTTGTTTTATAGATGCGCCTTTTTCCCCCGCGGCTGTCCTTCCACATGGAATGATTTTTCAATCCTTTCTTTTTGCACATCTACAATATGAAACGAACCTACAAACAAAATTTCATTCTCCGAAAATATACTGATATGGAGAAACAGTGATGAAAAGGTAACTTATTTTATGAACGCGCCTTTTTTTTCCGCGGCTGGCCCCCAGTTGTAATATTTAAAAATTATTTCTTATTGCACATCTACAACATATAATGAACCTACATACAAACTTTCAGCCTCCGAAAATATAGTGGTACGTAGAAACAGTGATGGGAGGGTAACTTTGTTACCCTCCTTTTTTCCCGCGGCTGACAACCCAGTTGAAATATTTGAAAATCCTTTCTTTTTGAACATCTACAACATAAAATGAACATACATACAAAGTTAGAGCCTCTGAAAATATAGCGGTACAGAGAAACAGTGATGAAAAGGTAATGTTCATATGTAAACGCGTACCTTTCATCCCCAGAGGAGGATTTCCAGTTGAAATATTCAAAAATTCTTTCTCATTGCATATCCAAAACATGAAACGAACCTACATACAAACAGTGATGAATAGGTAATTTTCATATATAAACGCGCCCCTTTTGCCCCCACGGGTCTCCCCGGTTAGAATATTTGAAAATCTTTCCTTATTACGCATCCAAGACCTAAGAGGCACCTATACACCAAATTTCAGATTCCTAGGACGTACCAGTACGGAAAAATAGAGAAGACCGAGTGTTAAATGACTCGCATTTATAAGTATAGATTTTGTGAAACACGTTGGACAGAAAAATACAACAGTATCAGAATATTTTCTGAAAATATTCTGTTTACTGTGACAGTTGTCTTATAACATTGCAGAGCAGCAAACAATGTACCAATTATGGTGAAACTGAATATTGTGCTGTCATACTACAGAATCGATCATTAATGTTTTTATGCAAAGATTATCGTACTGCAATGAAAATTGCTCCTGCTATCTTGAGACAG